GTTATTCATATCCTGGATTTCTGTATGCTGATAATATTGCTGGCCAATAATATTTTAATAAATACGTTCATTCAGCTGTGAAAAATCGCTTCTAATGTCCAAGGAATCTGAATAAAAAAACAGCCAAAAGCTTCTCAACTTCAACGCCAGTAAAGTCTGGCCCAACTTCTCATTTGTCTACAACTTTCACCATTTCCCGCCCCGCCCCCACCAAAACCTCCCACAGTCATCTTAATTTCCCCTGAAAATTCATTTGAACTTTTCCATGCGTGCATAGCAAAACAATTGCCTTTAAGTGTTCAGATCTGAGCTGGGTCACAAGGCACTTGTTAAAGTTGGGTTCAAGGGGAAGTTTACTTTTCCTTGAGGGATATTTCCCCACCCCTCCCCCCGCCCCCCACACCACCATAACTTTTTCTTCCGTCCGCCGCACTCGCCCATTACCCCAAAAGTGTTTTGAATTTCACGACCATCGGAAGAGGCTGAAAGCTCTTAATAAAGACCCTTTCAGAAAGTAAAACGTATGTGGAGGAAACGACGCAATCACGCCGGGTGAAATCCCGGGAGGGAAAGTGAGAATGTTACGCCTCTCCCAGAACTCCCGGTTAGCTTAACCCTCCCCCCACCCCCACCCACTTCTTTTCAATGGTGCTTGAAGCGTTTTGTAATTGCCTCCTCAGGAAAAGCAACACTGTTCCCAATTTCTTTGTAATAACGTTGTTGGCAGTTCCAACAGCAATATATTTTTCCCCAGCAAATTTGGTGTTTTATTTGAGTACAGTTGAATTCTTTAGTTTATTTATTTGCTACATTGCCATTATTACCCTGGTTAAATGTTACAATGAATCTCTTTCAAACATTGCTATGAATTTATTTCGGTTTTATAAGTGTTTCATGTTTTTCTTTCCCATTTCAATGATAATCTCAGCATCGTGGCATGAGAAACACCCCCCCCCCCTCCCCCCATTTAATGTGCAACTCTCGCAAAGCAGTGTTAGAGAACAGTCCACAGAAGGAGATATTGCAGAACTACTTCTGAAAACATTAACATGCCCTGCTGCAGAAAAAAAAAAATCTGTCACTTGGCACACAGATATTATTTTCAGAATCCGAGCCAACCTTGTAATGTAGGTGGGAAAAAAACACTCGTGTTTTTGTGCAGACGTTGGTGACCAAGTTGAGACGAACCACTCGCTACACTTGAGAACCCAGATTAATCACAGGTAATTCGAACATAGGACCTCAGCAGTGCCAACTAATTGCCCTGACCCTTGACCCGCTTGGCCGCCTTGTGTTCAAGAAAAAGTAAAACCATACAGAACTTAAATGAGCTGCAGTAAAGTCGTTGGCACCATGGGTGGAGTTTGGGGGGGGGGGGTGCACGGGGGGGGGGGGGGAAATGCCCCCCAACCTGGACACCTTCATACATTTTTAGTAGTTTACAATTAAGAAAAAAAAAAATTGGTATATGCAATAATGTGAGGGATGAAACAAACCCATGCCCCGTCCCCCAAAATCTCCAAAAATTTAAAAGGCAAAGTTGTGAATGTGTGTCTGTTCAAAATGTTTAGCGTACTTCCCGACATGCAACAAACTGGAAATTTGCCATGTGGGTACTTTCCAGACTGTACACCATGCAAAAATTTTCAAAATACATTCTTGTTTTTTTTTGGGGGGGGGGGGGGGGAGCTCAATAATGAATATTTTTTGCACGGCAAGTGAGCTGTCACGTGACCCGCGCATGTGGAAGCGTAACGCATTGTAGTGTAGCGGTTAGTGCGCTGCGCTACGGACCCGGTGACCCGAGTTCGATTCCCGCTCACGGCCACCACCGGTGACGATTATTTTAACCGATCCTGGGCCATCCCCTAGGTCGACTCGGCCTCAAACGAGTAACTGGTGTGGTGTGTGAACATCGCCACTGGGGAGATAAAGGCGGCCGGCCGTGGTGGATCCAAGTCCCGGGTGAAGCTGGGTAGTACAGCTAGTACTGTAAAAATAAGTCAAACTCTGCCTCTGGTTGGCGCACTGCCAGCGACCTGAGTTCTATTCGCAGCCATCGTCGCACAGAAATCACATCGCATGCTGCAAGATTCGCAACCTGCTTGGCTACAAGATGGTCACCTAAGGGCAGCAGAGACAGAATTGTACAGACTTAGAAAAATATGTTTTTTAAACGTTTGGGTGTTATCACCTCTTTACATGTGTGGAGTTTCTCGACTCGGGCACGATGATTAAATACGTACCACAAAGCAACCAAAACATGTCTTTGTCTAAATAGATCGATTTATTATCACGAAAATAAAAAAGCATGTCAAACTATTAATGTGTCTGTTGCATTCTGGCAACAGTACGGTACGAAATTAACTGGCTCAAAATAAGTTGCACATCTTAAGCTGCTCTTGATAAATGTGAAATCCGTTGAGGCCAAACAAGTCCACAATGGCCTTGGTTCGTCACAAAAACAACAGCAGCAGTAATACAGCATCCGAGTGAATTTCTCAAAACAAAGCTCAGGCTTTTGCACTCTTGAAAACGGTGCAAAAGTTTCAACGCAATGACCAAAATCTATTTTAAATTGCCAACAGCTGCATGGCAAATTGTTCAGCGTGTATTGAAGATGTTGAACAGAAACAAAGTAATACGTGCAAAACAAATATATTTAAATGACCCCTCCCCCCCCCCTTTCCACTATCCAACAGCTGTGTTATTTTTACGTGTTGCCCTGCTTGGTTTAAGTGTTTGGAGGAAGAAGTCCCGTGTGCTAATGCCACCTCATTTCCCACCAATGCTTCTTGGCCCAGGCAGAGTGAAGCATGGCCTCGAGGCATCGTTATTGGGCAGCAGCCCTCCTCTCGCTCTGGGAAAACGCGTCCCGTCGCCCGCTTTCATGTGCGCGCCACAACCTACAGTCTCCCCGCGCCCCTCCAACCCGTCCACTCGCCAGAGGTCGCAAACGGGTTTTGATTCCTTACCCGTACCCGGCCGCACCAGGGTCGCAAATGGGTACTCGTTCCCTACCCGTACCCGGCCGGTTCCGTACCCGTACCCTACCCGAAATGAGTGACAAACGGTGACTCACCAGTGACTCACGGCCTACCCGTACCCGTACTCGGCCGCACCAGGGTCGCCAACGGGTACCCGTACCTGGCCGAGTACGGGTAGCCGGGTTTTGGGTAGGGTACGGGTATCGGGTACCCGGTTGCGACCTCTGCCACTCGCCCACGACTCTCATCCCCGCCCCCTCCTCCCACCCGTTATTTACGATCTATCCCACCCCAAACGTCCGACATCGGCTCTCCCGCTCTGCCCACAGCATTTACCACAAATGTCAAGAAAATTCCGATCGTTCACGAAGTTTCGGGGGGGGCCCTCTTGAAGGGAAGGGGGGAGGGGGTAAGTAATACATATAATCATGCACATAATAAGAATATTCGCTATCAGCCATTATTTTGTCCACAGCTATAGAAAGGCACGAAGCGTCACTGTGTTTCGAGACTCCACTGTGCAAGAGGCTCCTGCTGCGTAGAGATGTTTGGCCAATTCCATTGGCGAGTGCTTTTTGCATATGGGACAGAACTAGGGTACCTGGAGAAAGCTCGCACGTGCGAGGGAGTAACACTCAAATGTCCACACAAACAGGTTCACAGATGCACTTGCTGTACTGTAACCTGGTCACCCAACAGCCCCGTGGGTTTGGGAGGTTCACACATCTCTCCATGATTCACCAACCCTTGCCTCCCCAAAGCACTGAATTACATCGGGCGAACGACTCATTCGGATGTCTCCAGAGCAGTGCAACCCTTTGAAAGAGGATATCACAGAGCTAATTCTGAGGACCATTCCAGTGGCCTGGTCCACTAAGGAGAGGGCAGCACCCCCCCCCCCCCACCTCGTCCTGACACAGGGCAAGGGAAAACAATACCGTAGTAATATTTAATAATACATTTCAACACTCATTGTGCCCAGTCAAAGTACCCCAGCATTACTGCAGCGCAAATGCCTCTGCATGAAACACCACTTTAATACTAACGTCGTAAGTTCGAGTTTAAAAAAAAATATTTCTAGGCACTGGATGGGTAATCGCATCGACCTGACTTTGATTTCCAGGCGCAGCTAACATCAGTGGCAGGCGGATATGTGAACCGGTGCCTTTGCCAACCATTCACCAACTCGCGCTGACTAGAATGGTGAAGTATGGTTAAACAAGCCCCATGAATGACACTTGCGTGGAGAGGCCTGTATCCAGCAGTAGACCCATGAAGGGGCTGTAAATGAATGTTATTCTTCAGTCAATCAAACTTGGCCGAAAATCCAACACTTTTTTAACACGGCTATTTCGTCACATCTGCTCTAGATTTAGATGTTCCAAGCTCACGTACTGTTTACATACAATGTTAGGGATATAAGAGGTCATTTATTGGTTTACATTGATTGTTTTGCTCAATACATGCATACAACTGCATGTAATAACAATCGATTATAGTTTCCCGAATACTTCACAGCGTATAGAAGTACGCATCGATTCGTGAATCAAATATGTTGCATGTTAATACCAGTGTAGAGTCTTCACGCACCGCAACACCGAAAGCAGAATCGATGCAAGAAATCAAATGTAAGCAATTCAAAGAGTTTAAAATGCCTTTGAAGGTATGCGCACGCGTGTACATACGCGAACAGCAAACGTGTTCATAGCATCCAGAAAGGGGGGCGGGGGGGGGAAGTGAAATGCAATAGAGCAAGTGGAGTGAGGAAAATGAAGTCAATTATTGACAGACATTTCCCCGCAGAGAGGGACCTCCATTAGCTGCTGTTACTTCCAGTTTCATGTATTAGGTATAGCCCTGTGAGCCATTCGGCTCTTGAATCGGGTGCAACCGCAACAAACCAAAAAACTAAAACATGAACAAGAAAACATCTTAAAGTGACTATGTGCAAACAGAAAATCCAAGAGAAAAGACAACAAAATATTGCATAACCCCCCCAACCCCCACACACACCAGAGGTTCTGCGTGATGGACCGTCGCTTTGCTTGCAGTGCTGTGACCCTTCCCGTCAGCTGTTCCGACGAGCCTCGCGTGCTCCTCTGCGCGTGCTCGTGCTCTGCACTGAGCGTAAATGGGGAGGGAGAGGAGGGGGGGGGGCACCCTTATTGGACAGCAAAACTCGTGATGTCAATGTAACTGTGGTGGGTGGTGCGTGTCGTTCGGGGAGCGGTCGTGTACCCGCCAGCCCCCACTGCGCTACGAAACCTGGCGGGCTCGAGTTCGATTGCCGCCCACGATCAACGGCAGTGGCCGATTATAATTTTTTGAAGCGGTGCTGGGCCTCCGCTAGGTCTACTCGGCCTCAAATAAGTACCGGGAGCGTTGTGTAAACATCGGCACTAGGGAGACAAAGGCGGCCGGGCGTGGTGCTGGCCACCCACCCCCTCGTGTGCCATCGCGGCCTTTATAGGTGCTCGCTAACAGCACTTGACCCAACAGTCTGTTAAGGCTATACGGGGGATCTTTGTCTTGTTGGTTGGGGAATGAGAGCGAGCGTGGAGAGAGGGGGGGGGTCTGTGTTGGGTGAGTTGGGGGGGGGGACTGCCGGGCCAAGATTAGTCTCTGGAGACTTGAGGTCACGTTACTCCGGAGTTGTGCAACGGAGAGCATCGTGACGGTTTAAAGTCGCAATGCATCTTCAGCAGACCTTTGCGAATCCACGGCTGAATTTAGGTCTCCCCCACGAATGTTGGATGATCGTACTTCGCCGCCACACGCTGATCGGTGCCGGATGGCGAAGATACCGATTTGTCACCGCGGACGGGAGTCAAATTTTGTGCTCTAAACCGGATTCAGGAATGGTAGAAATGCCACCAATAGCATAAAAAATCGTCAATGTATCGATACTAAAGTAATAAAAAAATTACTGTAAAAGATTTGGAAGTGCGTAGTTCTTCGAGGTTGTTCTTCCCTACGGAGAACTCGGTCCGCTGTGGCCAGTCCCGCCTGTGGTAGCGCCCCTTGGTGTCTACATCTTTCGTAGTAATTTTTGTATAAATAAATGTTAATTTTGATTCGTATGTTTTTTTCCTTCTGACTTTGTGAACGAAAAGACACAAATTCGCCCGTTTTATTTTTGACAATAAGTACATTTCAAAATATCAATGTCCTGGTCACAAAAGCAAAGTTTGTGGAGTATAATAGCCATTTTCTGTACTTATAAGGTATAAGCAATTAGGAAATAACACTTACTGCCCAGGAACAAAAAATAAATAAATGTGTTACACAGCATTATGAATGGAGTGGATTATTAACTTTGCTTTTGTGTCCTGATCACAAAAGCAAAGTTTGTGGGGAAGAAGCCATCTTCTGTACATTTGAGGCATAAGCAATTAGAAAATAACACTTACTACCCAGGAACAAAACAAGTAAACCCGTAAAAACAAAGTTTTTCACTATAAATTCTTTATATGCGTGGCGGCTAGAGTCATCTCGTCCTCTGGCTTGAGATGGCTGCCACCTATGGGTCAGATGATTGTCTGCCAGTATTAAGCAATTGGTAATTAAATATTTAATTTGTTTTCCCTAAACAGTGTAAAATTTTGGGAATTTTTTTTCACGAACATTAATTGTCTCGCACAACGAGTCTGTGTGGAAAATGTCAGCTCGATTGGATCACGGGAAGTGGGTTAAAAAACGACCGAAAGATTTGCACGGTCCTAAGCAAGCAAGCACGCAAGCAAGCAAGCACGCAAGCAAGCGAACTTAATATAAAGGATTTAAAAAATGTGTTACACAGTGTATAATCAAAGGTTGCGGGGTACGTACGTAGATCTTTTGAACGTCTTTCGCGCACCACACGATGCCCATCTCGTACCGTACGCAGCCTCTATCATCGCTCTACCTCCACGGGGCTCTTCCTCTCGATGAGACTCGTCATTGCCCTGACGTGAGCAGCACGTGGTCGCTAGAGCACCCGACGCTTGCAGAGGCTCTCGCTTCGTCCACCGCCGTGTTGCCCGCTGTATGTTTGTTACACAGCGTCCAAACATGTTTTGCTTCAACGTGGACTCGTCGGAGAATGCAACACGGACTCCGTATCCCGGTTCGTTGCGTGTGGTCAGTGCGGACATGCTATTAAATTTGAGTTGCGAGGGACGCGTTCTAAAGATGCGTGACGTTTATGATAACCAAACGGGCGCGTACACACACACACTAAATGTGTTTTTAAATCCTTTATATTAAGTTCGCTTGCTTGCTTAGGACCGTGCAAATCTTTCGGTCGTTTTTTAACCCACTTCCCGTGATCCAATCGAGCTGAGATTTTCCACACAGACTCGTTGTGCGTGACAATTAATTTTCGTGAAAATTTTTTTCCAAAATGTTACACTGTTTAGGGAATTTTTTAAAAATATTTAATTACCAATTGTTTAATGCTGCCAGACAATCATCTGACCCATAGGTGGCAGCCATTTCAAGCCAGAGGACGAGATGACTCTAGCCGCCCCGATGCCACGCATATAAAGGATTTATAGTGAAAAACTTTGTTTTTACGGGTTTACTTGTTTTCTGTCTGTCTTTCGTCTTTTGACACCAAACTCTTCCAGAGAAATCGTACAAATGCAGGCAGACGGGAGGTGCTGAGTGCTGCGTGTGGGGTCTGACGGGGTGGTTTGGCAAACCGAGCTTGCAGTGTTCAGATCCTGAGTTTTAAGTTTGGGGGCAGCCATGCCTCTTATATTAGGCTCTCAGTGTACAGTCTCCAGCAAATTGACGATTTCAGCCCAGTCAACAATCTTACTAAATCATTCGTTCTCACTTAGTTCTAGATTTGAAGCTTTCGTGACTGCAAGGATTCATATTCTTATGTTTTTTCGGTAAAGTCACGTAGGTAAAAAAATCAAATTAATAAAAGTAAAATAAAATAAAAATCACGACGTTTCGGAGGCAACACAAGCTTCCGTCTGCAGGTGGAACCGTCACAGCCACGACAGCTGTCGTGATTTTTGTATTTTATTTTACTTTTATTAATTTAAAATTTTTACCGACGTGACTTTACCGAAAAAAACGTAAGAATATGTCACTTAGTTGTTAGTAATCGCAGCTGAAAAAACCCAACATTATTTTGATTGCTATGTGACGAGCATGTTTTTGCAGGGCATCTTACACGGCGTGCCTTTTAGCGCGGTTCAAGAAGCCTATTGTGACGTCACCACCGCAGCCATTCTCCGACACAAAAGACGATGCGCTGCTTCGCTGTGGGAATTCCGACTCTAAATATCTTAGTCTCGCGACACGATTAACTGCATAGTTGGAAAACACCTTGTAAGAAAGCAAACAGAAAAAAAAACCCAACCCAAAACCAGCAGCGTATCTTGTAATAGAAATGTCATCGCTCGGGAAATGTGTCAATAAGCAGTGTTCCTATGTTTGCGCACACGGCTGAAGGTTATTAATGTGAGGGCGGTTGCACAATTAATCAAACTCTGGCTTTGAGCATGCGATATTCCCCTGGAAAGGAGCTATTATTCGGAATGGTTGCCCTCGCCTGTGCAATTCCACAGTGCGTCCAGTTTAAATTAATTAAACAGGAGCAACTGAGCTGGAGTTCACCACCACCATCATCATCAGTAACGCTGAAATCCACTGCTCGATGAACGCCTCCCTAGGCTGCCACAATCACCAACGATTCAACGAGTCACTAAGCACCTGCACACGAGCGGATTGCATCGCTCCATCTCCTCTATGGGAGTACTCTCAGACGCGTTCCATTCCTTGGCTGCCTCCCTGGTCACCCTTCATGATCATCGATTATCTTCCATTGCAGCGACGCCTCTTGCCGAAGCCCACTAGCTCTTCTTTCCAGTGAAGCAGGATGCCACTAACTCACATGCGTATGTTTACTAAGGGCCGTCCATAAATGACGTCACGCGATTTTGGACGATTTTTGAACCCCCCCCCCCTTTCGTCACACGGCGTCACAAAAAGTCAGACCCCCCCCTCAAATATGACGTCCAAAGCTCTGCCCCCCCCCCCAAAATAAAAAAAAACATGCTTCAAATCGCTTTAAACTATTGCCATTGTAGTGCGTATTTAACGTGGCGCTGCACTCTGATGTTGTAGGAGAAAACATTTATCAAAAAGTATATTTAATTAAGTAGAACGTGTTGTGTATATTTATTTAAAGTTGCGCATTTGATGTGACGTCACATTTCTCAACCTCCCCCCCCCCTCGTCACACATCGTCACAAATGTCTGACCCCCCCCCCCAGGTGCGTGACGTCATTTATGGACGGCCCGTAATGCATGCGTTCTTCTTTACGTATTTTAATGTCATTCCATGCGTGCATCTCTCCCCGAATTGTTGACGCACGTTTCAACGGTCATTTGATAATATAGTAGGACGCAACGTTGACGAAACATTATTCTTGGGGCATACTGCTATTCTGCTTTTCCGAATGCATTTCGGATTTCCTAAAGCACTCAAACCTGCTCTCATTTGCCTCTAATCATTTTGGCTCTGGCCCATCTTCAGTAGTTGTTAGATGTACACATGCTACTGTGTTTCCCACTTGTGTCTCTCCGACAGATATCTCCAATCAGTTAGCGAATCTGTTCACGGTCTATTTTCTCACATTTAGCCTTCTGTTAAGTTATTCTAACAATTAATTCGGCACCGCCGCTTATCCCCAGTGATGATTGTCCTGAGCCAGTGGTCAAGATTCGACTTTCACACAGTGAGAACCGGTTAATCTTCGGATGATCACTGCTGCCTTCTAGAAACGTGGAATTTGTTTTGTATATCCTGAAATTGTGTTTGATGGGTCAATTCCCCACGGGGGATTGATCTTGCAGACTTTGTATTGCGAGTTGTGAGAGCTTCAACTGCAGTTAAGATGGGGGCAATATAAATTCAACAAAGTACACGTACAATAGTTGTTTCAACATCAAAATTAAAAAACCTACATTGAGGGCTTTAAGGATAATATGCATCCAACACGCTGAAACTAAACCCCATATGAAAATTCGTCATAACTCGGTCGAAGCAGAATATTCCTAGAAACTGTAAGAACTCAACGTCTAAATGGATTACATTTACATTAGCCAGG